AATCAGCAGTTAGAAGACCTTAAACTTTATAGCTTGTTGGTTTACTTATGATTCTGTATCACTGCACACTTCATCCTAAATCGTAACTGCTATCTCATTTTAGGGTCCTACTGAAGTTGCTCTGTTATTTTAAGTACCTTTTAAGTGGAAGGCAGCTCATTATGCCAACCTTTCAAAACCCAGAGCAAATGTACATTTTCTACCCAATAATTTGTTCAGAAGCATACTGGTTTACAAAAACAAATCTCATCAGCTCTGTCTTATATAAATACAATTAGCTCTTACCCCTCTAACATACTATTGAATCATTTCAAATTCAGAAAACAATTCACCTAACAGGCTACAAAAAGACTTGAAAATAACAAAATGAGCAGATATACCTGTCAAACTGCAGCTAGCCAAATAAAACTGTTGTAGAGTGGAGTAACTTTTTTTTTTTTTTTTTTTCTCTCCAAAAGTGTCATGACCCAAAGGCATGATTTTGTGTGCTTCGGCATCAGAATTATCCCCGCCAGGTTGCAACTTCATTGCACAGGAGAGTTTCCTATTGCAGAGGAGAACCCCGGTGCAGGGACGAGTTTCCCGCCTTTTTGCAGCTTCTTTTGCAGGGTGCATTGCTCAAGTTGCAAGAGGAATGCACGGTGCAAAAGAGTTCCCGCCACCAGTATGCAAATTCGTTCCCCGCTATTGGCTAGTTCTAAATTATTCCCACGTGGCGGCTAGCGATTGGCCTGTTAGCCGTATAAGAGGCTTGAGCGGTTTCCGCCCAAGCCGAAGAGGACTCCACATCCATCTCATGGGGACTCTGGATACACGGCAGGGTAATAGAGACCCTGTGTGAGATTCAGAGGAGAGTGGCGACCTGATCCATCGCCCACCTCTTCCCGTCTTTGAGCGCAAATTTTATAAGACGTATCTCCGATTCCAATTTTGGTGGCGCATTCACCCAGAGCATCCGGAGCTCTGTTCCGTGGAGCCTAGCAAACTTCACGAGACCGTCTGTGTCTGTAACCGCAACTCAAGCAAGTTTTCCAGCCTACACCACTGCCATCTCGGTGTAAGTAAACAATCTTTAAAACTACCGCTAAGCGTTTGTGCCTAATTCCAGCTCGTCGCCCTCCCTCTCCGATCCAGCGTGCCTGGGCTGCTGGCCACAGCCCATGTGCAGCACGAAAAAGGGCTCGGGTTGCTCCCAGCCCGCACAAAAAGGAATAGAGATTGGAACATATACCTGGAACAACTACTCTGCATAAAGGAGTAGGAGTTGGAGTTTGCATCTATAATAATCAGCACTATAATATGAATGTAGTACAAAATCCAGTACTGAAGAGAAGGGGCAGATTTTCCATAGATACAGCCAATTTCCATTACAAGCTATTGTGTGACCTACTGTAGCTCTGCTACAACTTTTATTCAGAAAATTTTGTTTTGCCTGAAATTTTCCAATTTATTCTGAATGCAAGTTTGAAGGATATTTGTCAACTGGTTTCTGAGTCCCAGTTCATTCAGAAGTTACCCCAATTTGAATTTAACATCTGTTTTTTGAAAATATTTGTCTTTGTCCCCATCTTAGGCAAAACCATGAGCTAAAAAATAGGCTCTATTCGTTTCTGGTAAATCAGCAATGATTTGTGACCAATCATACTTCTGCTAAATAGAGTTAGGGGCCCAATCTCCCTGTTACAAAGCTTCTATTCAACCCAATTACTTCAGCATCATGCCTTTGCTAGCTGAATGCAACTAAAGAAATATAAGAGCCCTCCTGTAACAGAGATATCCAGTTCAAATGATCATCCAGTGCTTTCCTGCAAATTAGGAGGCATCTTTAATTGCCCCACATGCAGAACTTGGAATACAAATTCACCTGGATGCACTCATAGGTCTCTGCCACATGTTCAAATTAAAGCTGGCTAGAGAGTTGTTACACATTTTTAGGCACTAACTTTGTAGCTGGTTGGCTCTCTTATAGCTGGCTAGACACTTTTTATGGCATGATAATTATTTTGCACATGTGGCCAGTCTAAATTTATTGTGCAATTAACCAGTCAATTGCATTATATATGTAACATGTAGAAAGGGCCATAATGACCTATTTTACTGGAAAATATTTGCAATCTGCTACATCCGATACGTGTATAGACAAGTGTAGCCACAGCAGGGTATTCTACAATAGCCTGGTTTGCTGGAGACAGAACTGTAGATGATTTCAATCAGAAAAAAACTCTGTACAGCTAGCACTTAGACTAGGTCAAAACACCAACTATTTTTTGAAAGATTGTCCTGAGTTTTGCAGTAAAAATGTATAGCTTTTACTGAAAAGTCAAACCTGAAAACCAATATTATTATTATTATTATTATTATATATATATATATTTTTTTTTTTTTTTTAGAAAATGTTGTGGGCATAGTGTTCAGTTTTTCCTTTAACATACTTATCTAAATGTTTTAACTTTTCATTCTTTTTTTCCATGGAAAAACCAAAAGTGAGAGACAAGAATGCAAGACTTCTTACCAAAAAAAAAAAGGGGTTGTTCATAAAGCCATTGAAAAAACATGGTTTGGTTTTTAAAATTCAGTATTGGCTCTATCAGCTCTTTTGGCAGTAGACAGACAATATGGACATGCTGCTATTCTCTGAGATCGCTGAAGCAGAAATGGAATGACTGAGAACTCCCCAAGCTGTGAACCATTTTGGCAGGAGATAGGCTGTAGTTTGTGCACATCTGTAGACCCCTCTTCATGCTCTTCACCCAGAGCGCCAGATTTAAAGAAACAGGGAGAGGTAGAAATACAGACCTCTGGGTTTTTAACTCAAACACTGTCTAAAAAGGAAAGAAAAACAAACTTCCATTTCCAAGGATAGGACAGTGTACAGCAGTCTTTCTGAACACAAGAAGCTACAGATGCTGGATTTAGGGCAATAGCAATGCAGAGCTGGGTGTCCGCTTAATAGCATTGCCATCCATCTCAAAGTTTTCCAAGTCTCAAAATATACACTAGCCCCAATAAAGAGATAACTATATTAAGTTAAAAGAGAGTTTAAATGGCTTGCCCAGTGTTATACAGGAGTGGTGCTCAACCTTTTAGAGCAGTGAGCTGGGGGTTTACAAACCAGCTGAATCATGGGCTACCACTCCCTACTGGTAATTAAAATAGAAATGATAATTTCTATTTAAAAAAAAAAAAAAATTCACATAATTTTTTTGAGGCTGCTCTGACCTTGGAAGCCTAGTAAAACTGTGTCCCCACTTCCCTGTCTCGGGTCCTGTGAGATCTGAGTGTCAGCATCCTTAGTTAGCTCTGTTTGTAACCGAGTCCCGGCTGCAACTCTGTTACTAAGAGGGGTAGACAGCTGAAGATAATTAACACTCAGTAGGCAAGAGGCGCGCCACACCCTCTGGAGTGAATGAGGCTCAGGAAGGAGAGATGAGAAGGGGAGAAGACCTGTGAGAAACTGCCTTTGGGTACCTACGCGCCGAATTCACACCAAATTCCAAGACGTATTTAAGCAATTGCCGGGGGAAGCCAAGGTGGTTTCCCATCATTCTTCCTAATGTCCATTTAGACTGGACATTAACTGTGAAGAAGTTCTTCCTAGAGTGGCCAAGGTCTGGAACAGGCTCCCAAGGGAGGTGGTGCTCTCCCCTACCCTGGGGGTCTTCAAGAGGAGGTTAGATGAGTATCTAGCTGGGGTCATCTAGACCCAGCCCTCTTTCCTGCCTATGCAGGGGGTCGGACTCGATGATCTATTGAGGTCCCTTCCGACCCTAACATCTATGAATCATATTATCACTCCACCAGGACAAATAATTAGAGATCACTGGCAAAGGTTACCACGCCATTTATGGCCAGTCGTCCGGCAAGAGATTGATCAGATGAAGGAATGAGGGATTATTGAAGAATCCCTAAGTCCCTGGAGAAGCCCCATAGTGGTGGTACTGAACCAGCATGGATCTATCCAGTTGTGCGTGGATTACCGAAAGCTAAACGAGAGATTGCCAGATTTGATGCCTTCCTGATGCCTCAGATCGACGACATGCTAGAAAAGATAGGCCAGGCCCAGTTTATATCCATGTTAGATCTCACAAAGGGGTACTGGCAGATCCTGATGGCAGAAGAAGACAAGGAAAAAATGGTGTTTGGGACCCCATGGGGGCTCTTCCAATTAAAAGGGATGCCTTTCAGGCTACACGGGGTGGCCGCCACCTTCCAACGATTAATGGGGCACCTACTTGATCCACATCAAGAATACGCAGCGGCCTACATCGACGACATTATCATCTCCCCCAGTTGGGAGACTCATTGTGAACATCTGCGGCAGGTACTGGGGAGCCTCCAACGGGCAGGGCTCACAGCAAACCCAAGAAAATGCACTCTGGGGAAGAGGGAAACCCAATACCTGGGGTTCGTAGTAGGCCAAGGAACCATCAAGCCCATAACTGATAAAGTGGCAGCCATAAAACAGCAACCCCTACCACAAATGTTGAAACAGCTCCGATCCTTTCTAGGGTTTGCCAACTATTACCGGCGGTTCATCTCTAACTTCTCAGAGAAAGCCGCCCCACTAACAGAATTGACAAAGGGACACCGCAGCCCGATTTCCTGGAACCCAGAGGCTCTACAGGCCTTTGACCAACTGAAAGAGGCCTTAGGCCAACACCCAGTTTTGTACACTCCGGACTTTTGGAAAACCTTCTTCCTCCAAACAGATGCATCGGTGGTAGCACTGGGCGCGATATTATTCCAGAAAGAACAGGGAGCTGAGAGGCCAGTGGCCTTCGCTAGCAGGAAGCTCAAACCCACAGAGACACGATATTCTACCATAGAAAGGGAATGCCTAGCAGTACGGTGGGGCATAGAATTATTCCAATATTATCTATTAGGCAGGAGGTTCGTGCTGATCACAGACCACATGCCCCTGCGGTGGCTAAGGACAGCTAAATTGAACAATGCTAGGCTTATGAGGCGGTCCCTGGCCTTACAACCTTTTTGTTTTTCAGTGGAGCATCGAGCAGGACGGAGAAGCGGAAATGTAGATTTCCTATCCCAACCAGAAGACAGTCCTAGCAAAGGCCTGACACCCGCCAAGCAAGACCCTGGAAGGTCAAGTACCAAGCTAGGACCTCCTAACGTGAGCAAAAATCGTTAAGGAGAAATCCATGCCTCCGCTTTTGTATGGAGTTAATTTCCTTTTTTTTTTTTTTTTTTGGGGGGGGGGGACCAAGTAACTGGAGGGGGAGGTGTGTAACCGAGTCCCAGCTGCAACTCTGTTACTAAGAGGGGTAGACAGCTGAAGATAATTAATACTCAGTAGGCAAGAGTTGCGCCACACTCTCTGGAGCCAATGAGGCTCAGGAAGGAGAGATAAGAAGGAGAGAAGACTTGCGAGAAAGTGCCTTCGGGCACCTACAGATTGTGAGATGTTGGCGAGGAGCTCTGCGGTGAGAGATCCCGAGGAAGACCCAGAGGCAGGGGCTTGATCCGCCCCTTTTTGCTACATACCTGAAACCCCCAACTTCTGCGGTGAGTCGCAGGGAATGGAGCAGCGGCGCGGTAAAAAGCCACAGCTCCATGCCAAGACGCGGCGGCATTACCCAGGAGGAAAAGGGGGTGGGGGAACACTTGACCCAACCCTGAAGAAACGAGACCCTGACCCCTCATCGGAGGACAAGAGGGTGGGGGCAAAGGAAAAGACTGCGAAAAAGCCATGATCCCCATGCCGGCACGAGACGCAGCCAGGGAATCCTGGTGCCAGTGTTCATCAGCCGCTAATGAGGCAATTAGTGGCTGATAACTGGGACAATGCCCGGTACTTACCAACTGAGTAAGTTGGCGGCGATTGGCCTGAATACACAGGGGGTCTCTAGGGAGAGTCCAACAAGCTGCCTCCTCTGCCAGGTGTTCCTGGAAAGAGTAATACCAGACTAAGAATAATAAAGCACCGTTACCATACACCAATCCAGTGTGGTCCTTCCCACGGGTACCTGCGTGGTTAACATCTCCTCCCTCCCCATTTTGTTTAAACATCAAAAGTCATGGTAGGCGAGAATCTCGGGGTTAAGGGGGTACCCAACGCCGACACGCTGACACTGTTTAAGGAAGTGAAAACATACCATTGACTATGTAACACAACCAATGTCAAAATATCAATCAATCCTCCAGATCCAGACTCATCAGGCCAACATATATGAAGAACCAGAACCAAATAATAACTTATGCCCAGTTCACCCTGCATTTCACACCCTAAATATCATTACTTCCTGCTAAATATTAATTATAGGAGGATTTAGCTATCACACATCCACAAAAATCAGACCTGGACAGAAAGCTAATGGAGTAATACTCCATTCCCAGAAATCCTCTCTGGAACAAGATTGATGCTGGAAAGTGCATGTTTGCCATTAAAAAAAAAAAATCTGCTGTGTGTACACAAAAGCTTTATTCCCTTCCTTGATGAAAGCAAACACACACAAATAGAGGCCCACTGAAAACAACGTTGTCCTCTAGATTTTGCAACTAAGTGCACTCACAAATCATTATGTCAGACCTGCCTAGGTACTAGAGTTATCTTTTTTATTTAATCTGGAATATACTTTCTAACCTTTAATATGGCAGAGGCAGTAATGCATTTCAACCACAAACCACGTAATTCCTTAGCGTAGTACAGCTTCCACTGGAAAAAATCAGCACCTGTTAATAGCCACCGCTCCCTTCAGTTATTTCCTATACCAAGTATTAGGGACACCTACAATAAAGCGCTGGGTTTAAATATTCCATTTGTGGCAGGATGGATTTCCCCGGTGGCATGAGGCCAAGGCATATGTGGAGAAACAGGCGGCTTCTCATTCATGGTGTCAGCTCTAGTGGATTTGTGGCTCTGCAGCTGGAAGAGAGGTGCACACTGAGTTGCCAAAAAACCACACAGGGAATCCAGTGTAAAATGAATGCAGGCTCATTACCTTTTTCACCAATTTCTTCTGTGCCCTGGCCCCGTACACAGATCCAGGGGGTGCACGCCCTGTCACATGCTTGCCTGGGGGTGCACGCAGTGGCGGGAACTGCCCCCCCCCGCCACCCTGGCTGGGCAGCTCCTGTTGGTGCCCCTTCACTTTGGCACCCAGGGCGGTCATCCCACTCGCCCCCGCCTTGCTACGGTACTAGCCCTGGGATTGTGAGGGCAGCTCTGCTCTAGACTCTCTCTCTCTCTCTCTGTAGTAAGCCAACTCCAAGGGAACAACACGGCCTGGGGGCACAAGTGGAGCTGGGCCTCCATGTTCAGAGCCACAGAATCTCAGGGATATGTAGAGCTTAACAGTAGAAGCCCACTTCCACTACCCCGCCCACCAGAATGGTTCAGGGCAGGCTTCAAATGAAGAGGTGTTTTCCTTCCTCATCAGCCCCTGCTGTAGAAGGGGATAGCCAGGGCCACTGCCTGGAAACTTCTCACCTCTGCCTTGCTCATCCAGTTCTTTATCTTTCACGTGAAGTGCTGACGTTAAAAACCCAACGTGCTTTTCAGACAAACAGAGACGTCTTTCCCAGGATACCTGCCTAATGTCTTCAACCTGAAATTTCCTGTTGTGAAATAGAGTATTTCTATTCACTTCTCATACCCAACAAAGACTGAATTGATGCCATCACAATGATGACCAGGGTCCACTGAAGAGAAAAGACTACACATCTGTGCTGGGTGAATGAAGTAGTTCCAATGCATAATTCCCTACGGTCCCTTGAGGCTTGGAAGGTGTTCAGCTGATGTATAAATTGGAACAGATGATTGTGACCAGTCCTTGCACTTTTTGCCTGGTTGTAAGTGTTGGCTTGCAGCAACACTTTTTGCCTGGTTGTAAGTGTTGCTTGCCTGGTTGTATGTGAACAAGGTGTGGCATGCAGCAAAGAGGTGTGGCAGCTGGGTCGTACGTAGTGTGCATGCTCTGTGCAAATGCTTGAATGCTTCAGAAATCATGCTGGCTTACAGAACAAGAGCGATGTGCTGGTGAGTGGGAGCCCTATTCATAGCCCGGGTGTGAAAGCCAGAGCATAGAAAGCAGAAGAGCCAAATATGAAAAAAGGACTTAGATATCTAAAGCAGGACTTGGGCAGGATGCATTTGTCCAAGTCCAAAGTTGTCCTGATTTGTTACCAATCCCTAGAGGTACCTAAAACCCTAAGGCACCATACAAAGAATGTCTTGAAGTTCACTGGCACTTCCAGTTGCATCCCGCACAGGCCCACAGCTACCCTACTCTTGACAGGGCAGAGAAGCTCAGCCTCTAGCTCATGTGTGAGCCCAGACACGACGTGTTCCTCAGCCTTAGACTGGTTATGGGTTCAGTCCAGGTGTGTTCTGCAAATGCCTGACACACACTGTTGGGATCAGGCTTACTAAAGCATGGGGGTGAGGAGTGGACAAGGCACTCGCCCAGGAAAGGGGAAGCCTTGTTCAGTTTCTTCCCCTGCTTGAGGGGATTTCCAACCTACTGGCCCCATTTCCCAGGAGCTCCTGGATCCCACCCTGAGGCATCTGACTGCCCTCCGTGGAGAGCCTAGGGCATGTTTACACTGTGCCTGTAGAGGACTCAGTCTACCCAAGGCAATAAGCCCTGCCCACCCCCACCCGCGCCCACTCCTATTCAGGTACATAGGTCTTTTGTTGCATTTGGCCCTAAACAACTTGGCCAAAGTTAGATGGAAGCAGTAAGCATAACAAGGGGTGGTGGAAAAGGGGGTCAAGTCCCTGCTATGAAGGGGGAAGAGAAAAGACCAGATGGGGCCTGGCTCCTTTAAGACCAGGACCTTTTGGGCTACCAAGCACCAGGTGCAGCCAAGTGGGCCACATGACCATGCCCAAAGTCCCGTCGCAGTGGGCAAGCAGAACATGAGCCCTAGGCAAGAGCGGCAGCACTGCCTATGGATGTGTGCACCAGAATGGCTAGTGGGGTGCCTCAGTCTCACCAGCTCCCCCAGTCCCCTCCTCCCCCGACCCTGCACCTTCCCTGCAATGGCTCTGGCTCTAGCAGTAGAGGGGGCAGAGCAGCAGGGGAAATGCACGGTGGCTTGGGCTGTGGTGGCACACAGTACAGGAGCAAGCAACAGCTGTCAACACCTTTTTTGCCACTGAAAATCAGTGTTTAAATGGCCACTTGACACTGCTCAGCAGCAATAACAGGAGGCAACGTGTCTCTCCACAGCAGCAAATCACTGGCCACTGCTTCTGCACCAACACTTCCCAGGGTGCTGTACTAGAGGCATATCCATTGGGTACAGCAGCATGCTCATGCTCCACTTTCAGCTGCGCATTCACCTTCCCTGTCCCCCACCCCCGGGGCTCTGTGGCCACATGAAAGCAGGGGCTATGGCTAGAGCTTCTGCAGATCAGCTGGTGAGCTCAGAGAGCTCATGGCCCACGTGCAGCTCCAGTAGGAGCTATTCTGCCAGGCCAATGAGCTTGGTATGTCAAAGGTGGGGTGACCACACCCCTCTTACCTCTCTTCTGGATCCACCCATGCACCGTGCAGACCAGTTATGCTTCTGGATGGAAGTCGACTGCAGAGCCAGAACTGCAACCCAGAGACTCCTGGCTCTGAATTTTCTGCTCTGTCTCATGACAACGCTCTGCCTCTAGCTAACATACATTCTCTCTAACTGTTCATGTTTTAGACAGTTTCTGAATACCAGTATCCACGGGGTTACAGTGTTTGTAAAAAAAAATGTTCCTCCATGGATATATATATTAAAGGGTGCCTAGGCACCCACTTTTATTTTTGCCAAGGTGGGGGAGGGGGGAAGGCTAAGATGATGGACATGTGGAAAGTTTTATGCATTTCAGGTGACAGCCCTCTTCCCAAGGGGGGCCAGAGCCCTTGGGCCCCCACATACTCAGCATCTCTGATAGAGTGCATTGTAATCCCTCATCTTCTAAACACTAATGCAGGGTTTCCAAAATAATAACCAAACCACCTTGAAACTGAAGATTTCAAGAGGGGTACTGGGCGACTTTGAAACTGAAGCCAGGAGTGGAATGATGATATATGACACACACAACATATAACAAAGCTTTAGGCATTCATTGACTAAAATCTGGCAAAGCCTAGTACATAATAAACATTATTGTTGAAACCACTTTGCAGTAGGTTGGAAATTATTTCATAAAAAGAAAATGTTGTTTTCTCTGTACTGTAACAGAAAACATCATTCAGGAAATAACTCTTGGTACTTCCATTAGCAAAACTCAGTCTGCAGGTAATTACCTAAGGCCATTTCTTTGCTCTCAATGGACACAAAAAATATCTACACTAAGCAGTTCATAAAGCAAGTGATCCAATATTCTTCCCCTTTTAGCCAAAAATAGAGGCGGGGAGGGTGTTAGTATTTTTACATTTCTCTCTTGCACACTTCCAAATGACAATTTGAAATATATTTTTAAAATCTTGGTTAGTGGTGAAAAAAGAGAGAGGAAAATTGAATGGAGTATTCAGATTTATTTGTTAAAGTGTTTTGTGTAATCTAGTCTGACTTTACTCTGCTCTGGGGCAAGCTGATGTTAATCCTCATGTGTAGTCCATTCTGACCCTTCTAACCATGAAGATAAGAACAGCAAAGCTTTTAAAATAATGCAATGTCATATCTACCAAGGATTCCTGCAAATCTGCCCATGAGGTTGGTAGCATGGGGGAGGGGGAGATAGAATCCAATTGAACAAAAGCTTTAAAAAACCCACATGTGATAACGCCACCAATCCACGCAACTGCTGGGCAGAACTGAAAGAAAAGGGCGAAACAAAAACAATCTGCAAAGCAGCATTGTGATCGTGGCATGAGGTGAGTTAATGGTAAGAACAACGTTGCAGCTTTTGGGGTCATTGAATGACCCACTCGGGGTTAGAAATTGCTCTCCTTAGCTTCCTACTAAATTTGGATGACAAGCTATGATGTACAA